TGCAATTGACCCTACATATCTGAACGTTGGCCAGGCTCTAGCCGATGTGGCTTCAGAATGGACCCGCCTTACACGCAATCACGAATTGTCGCTGTATCTAGAGCAGGTGCAGGAAGTTCTCTCCCGTATGACCACTCATCAAACGGAGGCCAGCTTGGTCTTCATAGCAAGCTCTGATACAGAATTAATGCCATCGTCGCTGTATCCCGTACGATCGAGGGAGTATGACGACCAGTCACTCTCAGACTTGATGAAGGCACGAGTAGTCACAATTGAAGAACCCAGAACGACGGCGCCTCCTCACGCTTCCTGGTCGTATGCTGGAGCTTTAACTGTCAGGTCAGGTAACACTACGCACCATTCTACCAAGATGCACAACTTCATGGGTGTTGCTCAAACGAAAAAGGCACCATTGTATCCTCGAGTGGCTCACCCTCCGCCACAAGAGATTGGAATGCTTAGGGATATCGTTGCCAACTTCAAAGATCCGTCTTCTTTCGTGCAGTGTAGATATGCGAAAGAGATGAACGCAAGTATTGATGCTCTCCAAAAACATGTTTTACATGCGCGAGATACGGCTCATATCACATTTTCTCAGGTCACCACAGCGGATATCCTGCCAGCCAAAGATGTCATGGCAGCGGCTGCCGATCGCATCCGTTGTTCACTTCAAGATCCGCAAGCGAAGTGGCTGCAGATGGCGGATGCATACCATAAGTTGACAACGATTGAGCTTCTGACGGAGCTTCGAACTACTGCAGGGACTGCTTTTGGCGCAGGCATGAAAGAAGCACTTGTGGCTTTTGGGGTGGCTGTAAGCAAGCTCCAGCGGTTACTTCGTATTCAAGATGCTCAGAAGAGGTGGAAGAAGCAGCAAGAGCGAGATGAATGGGCGAACAAGGGACATGGAAATTGGAGTCCCATGACTTTTCCGGACTGGCTGTTGCTGGAGATTGACGGCGATATCCTTCTCCGAGATGAGCAGGTACAAGTCGCTCTAGCGACAGTCTCGCCGCAGACGAATGAGAACTCGGTCCTGCAACTCTTGATGGGTAAAGGAAAGACGTCTTGTATACTCCGTAAGTGCTGAGTTAATTACCTGGGTCATCATAAACTGACGTTTCATAGCTATGGTAGCAGCTCTCCTTGCTGACCAAGCCAACCTCGCTCGCGTTGTGGTACCGAGAGCTCTTCTACTACAGTCAGCGCAAGTAATGCAAGCCAAACTTGGTGGCTTGGTTGATCGCGAATTGATGCATATACCTTTCTCTCGAAAGACGTCTCCTACCAAAGCCTTGATGAGTCTATACAGAAAGTTGCACGAACGCTTGAAGGCTCGGCGTGGTATACTTATCGCATTACCGGAGCATATCCTCTCGTTCAAGCTAAGTGGACTACAGCAGCTTTGTGACGAGAAACTCGAAACGGCTTCCATGATGATAGAAACACAGCGTTGGTTGGATGAACATACTCGCGATGTTCTAGATGAATGCGACGTATCTTTAGCGATCAGGACTCAACTCATCTATCCATCTGGCACTCAGGCGACAGTGGATGGTCATCCAATGCGGTGGCAGGTAGCCCAGGCTGTACTCCACCTAGTCAAGGACTTCTCTTCAAGTGTCCAATCACGCTACCCTCGTAGCATTGAAGTGGTCAACCGGGGGTCCGCTGGCTTCCCTCTTCTTTACTTCTTGCGCAAAGATGCCGAGGATTATCTGATCGAGCTCTTAGTCAAGATCATCTGCAAGGGACAGACTCCGTTGATACTTCCTTGCGCCGAATACCCAGCCGCTCTCATGAAAGATGTACAGGGCTACATCTCGAAACCAGCCGTGCGCAGCCAAACCATATCCAAGATCACTAGCTTTTTTCGGGACAAACCAACTTTGATGCGCACTGTGAACTTGCTCCGCGGCATGTTCGTGCATCGTATTCTGATAACAACCCTTAAGAAGCGCTGGAACGTACAGTATGGGCTACATCCGACACGAGCACCGATAGCAGTTCCGTATTTAGCGAAAGGCGTGCCTTCTCCTACGGCCGAGTGGGGCCACCCCGATGTCGCTATCAACTTGACATGTTTGTCATTCTACTATCAAGGTCTCAGCGTCCATCAGTTCAAAGAAGCCTTTGCTCATCTCGTTAAGACCGACGAGCCGAGCATCCAGTACGAAAAGTGGTTCCCAAAGGGGATCGACATCCCAAAAGAACTAGACGATTATGCGGCAATCAATGCCGAGGATATGCGGCAATTGGGCGAGCTTTATCAAGTCGTACGCTATAGTGCCTCCCTCATGGACTTCTACTTGAACAACTTTGTGTTCCCAAAGTATGCAAAGACTTTCAGCCTCAAGCTTCAGGCATCGGGTTGGAACCTTTTCCCGTCCTGTCAAGACAACAAAGGACCCCGTGTTACTGGTTTCTCTGGTACGAACGATTCCAGGCATCAACTTCCTCTACTAGTGCAACAGCAGGATCTTCCTCAGTTAGCGCATACAAATGCAGAAGTGCCATACTATCTACTAGCACCTCGCAACCAGTCATATGTGCGCATGACCTTCGCGAACGGAGCACGTTGGACTGAGACAGACATGATCAACAACCTCGCGAGTACCTACATGCATATACCAAATAACGGCCATTACTCAAACGGATCCTGTCAAGGTGGTCGGGTCAGGATCCTGATCGATGCAGGTGCGCAAGTGCTTGAGCACTCGAATAAAGACTTCGCCAAAGCTTGGCTAGATGCGGACCATGAAGCTGCAGCGGCTGTGTACTTCGACAACGATCACCGTGTATGGGTGTTGTACCGTACGGGTAGACGTATACCACTAGTAGCATCTCCATTTGTTGACGATCTGGATCGATGCGTCGTATACTTAGACGAGAGTCACTGTAGAGGAACTGACATCAAATTCCCACCAAACGCGAGGGCCGCCTTGACTCTTGGACAGCATCTGACGAAGGATACTCTGGTACAAGCCGCTATGCGATTACGACTTCTTGGCCAGACCCAATCGGTCACCTTTTTCTCGCCCGTTGAGGTTCACCAGGGTATACTGGACCGATTACCCAAGGAGACTAGCGTTCACCACCAGCCAACATCAGGTGACGTGCTTCGCTGGGTGTTCGGTCAGACTTGCGACACTATGGAACAACTAGAACCGTCTTATTTTGCTCAAACCTTGCAGTACTTGCAGCAGGAGCAAGCCAGATTGGAGCATCCCGAGTATCTGCAGGACTTGCCATCACGAGAAGCTTTCCTCGCCACTGTTCGCATCAAAGAAGCTCTTTCTTTGAAACAGCTTTATGAGCCAAAGGGCGAGCTCCATCGGCGTGCTGTTGCTAACAAAGCCATCATCTCATGGAAACCTGTACTACACAGCATCTACACTGAGCTTGTGAATCGTAAGAAACGTTTCCAAGACCGAGGTTCTGCTGTCCATGCATCAGCACTAGAAGAGGTGGAAATTGAGCAAGAGCGCGAGGCCGAGCGTGAGGTGGAGATCGAAGTCGAAAACGTTCGCGAAGTTCAACAGGCACTGCTGTTCAACGCTCACAAGGTCAAAACGCTGCACGAAGACATCAAGCATTTCGCAGCGTTTGGGCGTCTCGTTCCCGGAAGCGATGCTCATCAACCAATGTTTTCGATGCTAGGACGGACGACTTCATTAGGCCTCAAACATACGGTCAATTCGTCAATGAAGTCAGGCCTGTGGATCTCATCTGAGTTCTCCCGCACGATCGAGACGTATGCGCCAAATGACAACTATGTCCGCTCTTCTCATTGGATTGTCTGGAGTACAATCAGCCAACAAGCGTTGCTTGTCAGCCCCGAGGAAGCCAACCAGCTCATCCCGATCATGCAGGAGCAGAAAGCGATCCAAGATGGTGGCAGTGTCCATGTCGTCGTCTATGCCGCACCTGTCACTCGAAGGATGCTCCATTTCAACCGGATAGACTACTACGCGATGCCAGCTTTACCCACAGACTTCAAGGCACCTGTCTGGCTTCGGGTCGAGATGGGCCTCTTCGCTGGGCGGCTCTACCTAGAATGGGACGAGTACTATCAACTGCTTGAATACCTTGGTCTTGACGAGAAACTATCTCAGCATCCCGAGAAGGATGCATTCGCAAAGAAGCCTCTCACCTTCGGTACGTATGTCGAACACTTAGCAGGCAATGGTTTACTAACATAGGCACAGTACACGAGTGGCTTGCCCTCCGCCGCAAAGGTCAGGACTTCGAGCACACTCCCATGGGCTTTGTTACTACTGGTAAGCCGCTTACGGAGAATCATCCATTCTTCCGCAAACTCGCACACGGAGATGATCCTGCTCTACGTCAGCATGTTGCCCGTGCCGTACCCGGCCAGCTCGATTCTATAGAAGAGGAGGAGGATCATGATGATCATGATGATGAGGAGTTTGTTCCCGCTGTTCAGCATGTCGACGACTCGGAGGGCGAGGACGAAGGCTTTGAATCTAGCGATGATGAGGCATTCGTTGATGCAGAGGATGGCGAGTGAAGCTGTGCGCTCAGCGCGTCAACTGGCACATGTATAATACCACTATAGCAACAAGTGAAGACTCATACGCGTTTCGCGGTGGGCTCAAGGTACCAACTTCTCTTATGCATAATACAACAGGTGGCAATCAGGGATTTGTGGAATTCAACAGACCTGAGGCTAATGTGTTGTGATTTGCCGAACCAGTCGACTGGTAGGTAATAAATATTGCTATATCCATATAATATGGTACAATTGAAGGGTATCTCCGCACTTAGGGTAAGGATACATAGGCTGCACGTCCTGCACTCAGGACCCCCTTCGTCTCTTGCTCTTCGGGACAGCATTTCTTCTTTGGTGCCAGTGTGGCACTGCCCCTTCATTCCGGTTATGCGGCTCTGCTAAGCCACACCTTATCGCGCCAAGCATGTCCAAGACATGTAGTGCGTGTCGAACTCGGGTCCAGCGAGGGAACTGCGCTAGTGGTGCCTCATACGGTTTCGGTCGAGTTGACGCGAGTGTACATGGGGAAGCGCGAGGTCTTCCACACGGCGAACTTCCTCACTGCGAAACTGCACGGTATAAGTCTACATTCTTTCACGATGGCAAACCCAGAAATTTTAACGCCACTCCGTCTATCGCGCTTCTATGGAACCACTGTATGGAAATAGACTTACTATATGACGAACAGCACAAAGATGAGAACGAAGATGTTGGCGACAGGATGGGAGATGGTCTGGTGTAGCATGCTCTTCGCGCCGGACGTGCGGTCGCCGCTCTCAGCTTTCTTGGCGAGGTCAATGACCCATTGCGCTGCCTCATCACCGAACAGGTCGAAGTAGTTCAGGTGCTTGGACATGTCTTTGTTCTCGCTGTGGGGTGCACAAATCGGGTCGCCGGGCTGGCAGTATTCGCGGAGCTTGCCGGCGTCAGCATAGGGCTGGAGTCCTGCATTCTGCTCAGCTGTTCGTGGTGCGCCGCCGTTTGAGATCTCGCCGCCGCCATGAGTGAAGGTTTGGTTTGCGGAACGTCGTGTAGGGCCGAATACGACTGCTGCCGCGACTGTGAAGATGTCAGTATGCAATTCAAATTCGATCTGATAGCCGGAACATACCCTTGGAGCCAGGCGCACTTGTAATGTTCATGGCCGGGTTTTCTTCTTGCGTGCAGCCCCATAATGGACCACCACCGCCACCAAGCACATCAAGCATGACGCTTCCACCCTGGCTGAAGCCCATCACGATCAAGTGGCTGTCTGGGCAGCGGGCAGTGTAGTTCCTCATCTGCTCGGCGCCGTTCATGGCACCCTCGTGCGAGGATATGCACCATCGCTCTCCACCGTTCATGGCCCAATACTGCACATCCTCATATCCGCAAGCCTTGGGGTTTTCCTTGGTATTGAGGGCGTTGCATACTTTGCCAACAGTCTCGATGACGTGACCTGGGTAAGGCGAGGTAGAGCCGCGGGCGAGGAAGTGATGGTAGGTCTGACATTCATCGGTTTTGAGGGCTTCGAATTGGGGACAGTCTTCGAGCTTGGTGCACACAGCGAATGCGGTGGAGGCGTAGAGAAGCGCCGAGAGCGCTATCCGGGGTATCATGGCGGATGTGGAGAAACGAGAAGGCAAGAGCGAGAGACGAAAGAAAGAGCGACTCGGTAAGGACGGGTGGAGCGGTAGGAGTCTCGGGGACGGGTTATCGAGAAAACAGGGAAATCGGCAGGTTGTTCGCTCGAACAGACGATAAGGGAAAAGACGACGATTGAAGGTGAGAAAACAGAGGCATCACATTGAAGATGGGGTGGACCGGGCTACCGATCTCTCGTTTCACCTCCTGGCATTCCTGGGGAAAGGCATGCGCGTACCAGAAGACGCCAAGAAGGCTGTCGACATGCTTGACGCTCCTGCGCGGCCCTGAATGGTTTGAGAATGGTGATGATAGTCGTAAGCCAAGCTTTTTGGCGCCTTCCCGCCCGGAAAGAACGGCTGGTAGTGCACCCGTGCGCCTGTCAGCCCGCCTCACAGCCACACCAGCGCCGCATCTTGGGGGACGCTGCCGAGCGCGCAATACGAGCGGACGAGGCGCAACACTATGACGGTGAAGAAACAAAAGACGTGTTTTGTGAGGCGACCCGAACCGCTCCAACTGCAGAATTCTCGCGGCAAAGGTGAGCTAGGTGGGAATTGCAAGGGATCCACGAGAAAATGAAGTCGCATGACTCAGCTTGACGCGTAACCCGAAATGCGTGTCCACTCAGTAAGGGGCCTCTCATCAACCCTTCCCTCCGCCCACGCAACTTTCAACCGAGAATACCCTCGATGGCATCCCACAATGATCACAATCTCTTCTCGTTTGACCTACTCGCTCGAGAGATTGCGGGGAAATACTCGGCATTCTGCTCGAGATTCTGACACTGATCTGACAGCTTTCCATGCCAACACGGCCATCCAAGAGCAACACTTTCGTCATCCAGAGCGACATGCCAACAGTAGAACACTGCGCGATTCCTATGCGACTTCCCACGCGACTCCACAGATACGGCCACTTGGTACCTTGCAGCGGAAATGGAGTGATGATTGATGTGTCGCGACCCACGCGAACTGTTCTGGCTGCCCTCTCGTTCGATCGCAATCCAACGCCGACGGCTACCTTATGCGACTCCTTCTCGGCTCCTGCGGCTTTGTACCTTGCAATAGCGACATCGATGCAGAGGAAATGCCTCCTTGTTCAAGTACCGCGATCCCATTCGCGCTGTCTGGCTCGGCCTGGAAGTGATTCTCGACCTGCCTGGGAAGCTGTCAAAACGTATCGCATACATCTGGCCTCGAGGTTTGTCGCGCGACACCGGGCTTGGCCATCCCAACTCCTCCGCCATGCCAACCGTCCGTGCGTCTAGGCTTCCCAGTGCCTCACTTTCACTGGATGTAACATGGTGAGATTGAGGATGTCGGCCGACGTTTTACCGCGCGAAATTTTTGCATTCACTGCCAATGCGACCCAGCGTAACCTTGTTCCGGTTGTCGTCTTCCTATCTCCTGGCAGAATTGGTGCAGAGCACTGATTCAACGTCTGTACATCGTCTGAATATTCGGAGAGTTGCTGGCATTGAGAGAACGCTCGCACCACCCGCTATCTGAGACTGACATACATCGCGAGGTGCCCAGACCTATGACGATGGTGGCCAAGCTGCCGGATGTCACACCGGCCTTCTTCGGCACGGGTCTCGCATCATCCAATGCGGCTCTCACTAGCGCGTTTGCTCCCGACGTGGATGGACATCAGACGTCACCACGACCCTTCTCCGCATGCGATACAGCTTTTGATAGGAACGGGAGCATGGGAAGGCTGCGCATCGTCCGGAAGGACCCAGCGTGCCGCACTTGCGCGTTTCGCGAAACACCAAGTCGGTCCCTTTACTAACAGCTTCATCTATACGGCATCTGGGGAGGCCCACATGCCTGAAGTGGATAAAAGAGCCATTCGGCCTCCACGCTTCCAAGAGACCCTGCCCCCGAGTGCCACCAGCTATTGGGTGCACAGTCCCCGTTAGAGTTCGGACGCATTTCTCACCACGCTATCAACAGCTACTGTTCTTGGTCCGAGTGCGATGTGCGGTAGTACGTAATTCTCCATGTCCTTGAATTCCTCCACACTGCGCTGTGACGGTTTCATCTCTTTACCCATTCATCTCTTTATCTGCTCAGCTTAGCCTCCATCAAATCCTCTCCATCAATAACTTCGTCTCTTGACTACTTCCTCCTCATCCCTTCCAATCCTCCCACTTTCACCACATACAACACGAAAACGATATATGCAGGCGTAAGTGCTTGACCTCCTAACCATGGACCACAAAGATCTCGCTTCTGCCCACGGCGACGTTCCCATGCAACATACAAATGAACTCGACAACAAGCCCAATGCTCTCAATGCCCTACCCGTATCTGCCCAGCGACCTACTATTGCCCTTGCAGCAGACCCAACCTACGATCCGCAAGACCCTCTGCGACAGAAGAAGCACGGAGACCCTGAAAAACTCGAAACCTACTCCGAAAACGATACAAACCTAGGCGACGTTACCGACATCCAGAATGCAAGCAAACGACCCACAAGCAGTACCGACGCTAAGAAACTCAACACCACACAAACTGTCATCATCTTCGTAACGAATGAGGTTGGAATTGGCATTTTGTCGTTGCCAGCCGCTCTCAACACTCTCGGGTTCTTCCCAGGCATCGTCGCCATCGTTGGCATGGGAATGCTTAGCTTGTACACCGCCTACAATCTCATCCAGTACTGGCGCAAGTACCCCTACATGCTCAACATTGTCGACTACGGACGCGTCCTCGGTGGCCCCTGGCTTGAACTCGTCTTTGCTATTGGCTTTTTGATCAACATGGCCCTCATCAGCGCATCCGCGGTCGTCACCATCTCCATCGGTCTTAACACGGTAAGCGACCACGCGACCTGCACGGTCGCCTTCACGGTCGTCGCGGCCATTGCCATGTGGGCTATGTGCGTACCCCATAGCATGCGCTTCGTGTCATGGGCATCGTGGCCCTGCACCATCTCGATCTTTGCGGCTGTAATGTTCGTTATGGTTGTCCTTGGTGTCCAAGGCCCCCGGAACGCGGGAGCACCACTCAACCTGAAGGCCATCGGAAGCCCCACTTTCACGGAAGCTGTTGCTGCTTTCTTGAACATCGCCTTTGCTTTCAGCGGGAACCAGGCTTTCCCTACTGTCATCGCTGAGATGGAAAACCCTTCTCGTGATTACCCACGCGCTGTCACGATTGAGAAGTGTGTCTCTACTTCCATCTACTGCATTGTCGCCGCAGTCGTCTACGCACTTTCCGGCGAGTCCGTCGCCTCGCCCGCGCTCGGATCTCTACAGCCTTTGATGGCAAAGGTTGCATACGGACTCATCTTTGTTGGGCTTCTTGGAACTGGTTTAGTGTTTGGCATGACTGCCGGACGCTACCTACACGTCTATTTCTTGCGCGTGATTGGTACTCACCAGGCCAAGAAGAATGGTAGCTTCAACGAAGAGGTCTCATCTTCTTCCGGTTCATCACGCGGCCGTCGCGCCTCCATCGCTATGAGCCACATGGGCCAGAAAACTGAATGGGCTGTCTGGATCTTCTCTGTGACCTTGTTCTGGGTCGTCGTCTGGATCCTCGCCAACGCTATTCCAGTATTCAGCTCCCTTCTCAACATCTCTGCTGCGCTTTTGCTATCATGGTTCACCTGGGGTGTTACCGTACTGTTCTGGTTTCACCTCAACTGGAACGGCAAGTGGCGCTCGAGCAAGAAGAAGATTGCGATGGCCGCATTCAACGTCTTCATCATGTGCGTTACCCTTTTCATGGTGGTTCCAGGCATGTATGCCAGTATCGACGCGTTGCTGAACGTGTTTGCCACTACGGACGTCAATGGCGCCTTTACGTGCGCAGACAACAGCATTCTGTAAATGCTACGTGCAACAAGATAAACGAATAAATCTTCCCATTTCTACCGACTACATGGTAGTCTACTTCAAATACTCTTTTCTTGTTGTATTAACTTGTTCACTACACCGTTCAATTTACTTCGAGTCATACGGTATACATGATGCAACCCAATAGTTTCGAAAAAAACTGAGTGTTGCACCTCAAGAGACGTTGGCGTCGGCGCCGAACGCACACGCCATGCTTGAGGTTTCCACGATTAGCTCCCGGCCACCACCGAAAAACGGCCGCGACTACCGAGCCACAATCCCTAAACACATCTCTAGGTCCCTGCATATACGTCCATACTACGACGGACATGTTTTTTGTACAGTTCGAACATCAATTTGACATGTTCGCGTCGTGAGTACCGACATAAAAAACGTGGTGAAACGATTACATCACTCCTACATCATCTCGACATCCACCCCAAAACGTCACGCAGTTTTGCCCCCTGTATCTCAGGGTCTAGTCTATCTATTCCCGGACTTGTGCCACCCATGCAGGAACAACGGCTGCGCATAGGCTGTGAATTAATGTAAGTATCATTGCCGCATCATACAAGGTGCTCGGCTATGATGCCGACGACTTACCGTCACGTCGATCTGGCTGTCGCGCGAGTATAACAACACGCTGGAGGCAGCAAAGCACCAAAGTCACATTCAAACTCTGATTTTTACTCCATTCTCTGCTTCAGTCACGTTCATCCGTAAAGATGCAGCACGTTCTACAAGCCGGTCTAAGCTCAGGCATGTCAGCCGTGACTGGCATTCACAGCGGCAAGCACACCAAACCCAACCCAGTGGACCCTTCATATGATGGGCTTGCCGCCGTAATGCCAGAGGACTGGATCCCAACTGCTGACACCAAGGTTGTATACAAGGGCAAGAACGGTGATGTCCACGCACCGCCACTATGCATCGGCGCATGGTCGTGGGGTGATACCTCTACCTGGCACTGGAAGCCTGAGGAAGAGCCCCATGTAGCTGCAGCCTGGAAGCACTGCCTCAGCAAAGGCGTCAACTTCATCGACACCGCCCAAGTCTATGGTACAGGAATGAGCGAAACCATCTGTGGGAGGCTAGTCCAGGGCCCTCCCAGAGACAGCTTCGTCATGC